GAGAACTAGGAAACACCCAACACTACCAAGAATGTTTCTAAAGAGGCTGGGAAAGAGTATGAAGTAAGCGACACTCTCAGCTAGAATTATTCTCTATGGTATGTGAAGAGTTGATCCAGGCTAACCTCAAAAGGGGTTAATGTGGTGTGGATTCCACACCTCTTTAGTTATGGGGTCTAGAAAGATGGCTGAGGCCTCAGTACAAATGAAAAGTGTTTGGAGAGGAAGTTTTCTGATGACATCTCTCTCTCTCATCTCCACACTTCATTGCCTCGAACTGAATCTACAGCTATGGAGAAGGCACTGTTGTGAGAGGCTTTGAACTGGGCAGTCTCAGCATTGTATATGTGATCAGGAACAGTGTTTTCAGTTCCTCTCCCAGAGCCTTTCAGCCCACCCATCTCCTCAAGCAGGTGACTGCCTAGCATGAACACTTAATGTAAAGGAGCTGGGTAAAGTCTGTACTGTCTAATCTCCCCCATACCCCTCAGAGTCTTAGCTTCACAATAGGACTTTCTGGTGGACTGATCTGCTTAGCCTCTATGTCAGACACCTGGCCCATAGGCTTCTTCATCTCACCCTGTGGGGTGTACCCAAGGGTGTTTTTCACAGTGCTTTCCCCAGCCAGTTTTAGACTCTGCAATTAAATCTCCTAGGAGATGTTCCATTTGGGGGAATTTTATATTTATATTTTTGTGGGGTTTTTCTTTTTTTTGTCCAGATAAGTGTGCTCATCATGAGACCCATGTGGCCAGGTAGTCTGGCTTGCCCTCAGGAGCACTTGCCTGGAGGTCTGGCTCATGTAACATGTGACATCTGGTTAGAGGCCATGAGGAAGGCAATTATTTGCTAGGAATCCAAGATGTTCAAGGTCTGTCCAACCCAGACATTATCAGACAGATCACTTTGCCACTAACCCTACAGTGCCAGGAGTGAAAGAATAGCAAATCCTAGAAGCCATCATACCTTCACTTTTAAGAGTTAGAGATGGCCTTATTTGAAAACCTGGGGTGGTTTGGGGAAAACTTTTTCTTACAGAAATATGGTCCTCCTTACTTCAGGCTGGGTTGTTGCATAGCCAAAGGGAAATGAGTGGTGTTGTACCACAGATGATGGAGGCTAGTAGCACAAAATGAAGGTCACCAGGAGTTTCCTGCTGCCCATGCATTGGTCTATACCAGAAGAAATGTTTTACAGATAATGGTCCATTGGCTATCATGTCTGAAGACTAAGGACCTTGCTCAGTATAATGGAAGTGGTATGGTGAATAGATTCAGTATAGACCCTGGAGTCGGATGATATACAATTTGAACTCCTGGCTGAGCCCTGGTGGCTCATGCCTACAATCCTAGATACTCAGGAGGCCTTGATCTGTCAATCCTGGTTCAAAGCCAGCCAGGCAGGAAAGTTCATGACACTCTTCTCTCCAATTAATCACCAGAAAACTAGAAGTTGAGCTGTAGCTGAAAATTGTAGAACCTTAGCCTTCAGCAGAAAAGAAGCTCAGGGACAGTACCCAAGATCTGAGTTCAAGCTTCATTACTGACAAAATTATTAATTAATTAAGATTTGAACTTCCCACCCCCTTGCTAAACATTGAGTATAACAACTCTTATACCTATATCTGTAAAATGGAGAAAATTGTGTCTACTTCTTACTATAACAAAGATAAATAGAATAACATATATGGAAACTCAAGACATTCAAGGATATTAATTAATGAATTTTCTCTCCTCTATGCTCTTGGGCAGTTATGAGGATAAGGAGTACCTTACAGCAAAGGGAAGAGTTTCTGACCCAGATCCCAGAGTCAGGATTTTCCAGCCTCTGCTTTATAACACTAATAGCTTTGCCTGCTTCTTAGGGCTGTTATGAAGACCAAATAAGGTAGTAAATGTGAAGACTTTTGAAAAATGGTTTCTCAAACACAAGACATCATCACTCTCATATCTTTTATTGTTGGCTTGTCAATGTCTTCTCTTTATAGCTGAAAGAAGCAGCTTGATATAACCAGTTTCTGATGTCGGCAAATCTTGTTAGTCATATTGCCTAAGTCCTACATCCATTTCTTGTAAGTGGTTGTAAAAAAAATTAACAAAAGCATGAGAACCTCTGTGAGAGCAAACCATTCTCTTATAGTTTTGGAGGAAACACAAATCTAAAGCATCTGTAAGGGCTAGAATCTCTAGAAATTTTCTAAGGGAGAAGACTGTCTTATCTCTTGCAATTTTGGATGTTCTCAGCTATTACTTGGACTGTAGCTGCACAAATCCAATCTATGTTTCTATCTTCACACAATCTTTCTGTTTTGTCTGTCTGTGTTCTTCTCTATCTCTTCTAAAGATCTTCTCCTTGAATTTAGGGACCACCCTAATCAGGTGCATATGGTCTCATCTCAATCCTTATCTTAATTATATCTAGAAGACCTAATTCAAATCATCCCACATTCTAAGGTTCCAGGTAAATAAGAATTTGAGACACTGTTCAATCTACTAAAGGGTCTCTGTCACTATACTTAAAACACCTCTAGCCTTCACTCAATGTATACGTTTACTGGGTTTTAGGTTGAGCTAAACAGTAAGTGCCTTCAGACTAATGGAAATTACATACCATTCTTTTTGTTGTTTTTTTTTTTAAGCAGTACCAGAGTTTGAACTCAGGGCCTTGCACTTGGTAGGCTGGTGCTCTAGCACTTTGAGCTACACTTCTATCAATATTTTTTACTGATTATTTTTCAGATAGATTCTCTAGAACTTGTCTGCCTAGACTGGCCTCAAACTGTCATCTTTCTACTGTCCAAGTAGCTAGGATTATAAACATGAGCCACCAGCACCTGGCTATGGCAGTTTTTGTTTTTTGTTTTTGGTTTTTTGTTTGTTTGTTTGTTTTTTATCAGTCATGGGGCTTGACAAGAGCCTGAAGTGTTTGTGCTCAAAGCTAACACTCTACCACTGAGAACCATAGAGTCACTTCTGGTTTTCTGATGGTTAAGAATCTCACAGAGGGGGCTGGGAAGGTGGCTCAGTGATAGAGTGCTTGCCTTGCATGCTGGAGGCCCTGGGTTTGATTCTTCAGCACCACATAAGCAGAAAAAAAAAAGCCAGAAGTGGTGCTGTGGCTCAAGTGGTAGAGGGCTAGCCTTGATCTGAAGAGCTGAGGGACAGCGCCCAGGCCCAGAGTTCAGGCCCTATGACCGGACCCCCCCCCAAAAAAAGTCTCACAGTTTCCTGCCTGGCAGGCTTTGAACCACGATCCTCAGATCTCAGCCTCCTGAGTTGCTAGGATTATAAGTATGAGCCACTGACATCTGGCTATGACACTTTTAAGTTTAATCCATGTCAGTATTTTTTTCATCACTTTTTCACATTCCAAGCAATCAATAAAGCAATAAATTAAAGCTCTGATTTTCACATTTCCATGCTGATTTAAAATTTCCATGCTAGTTTCAAACTCTCAGTGTGATGTCACTGAATGGAGAAGTATGAAGAGAGGCACCACAGTACTGATGATCTAATATTTCATTTCTTACCACAGAGATTCAATGACTTAAGAGCATGAATCAGTAACACCATAAAATAGTACAAAGTAATGAGATATGAAGTTTCATTTTCTTTTCTATTCTTTCTTTCTTTTTTTGGTTGGTCGGGGGGCTTGAACTCGAGCCTGGGAGCTGTTCCTGAGCTATTTTGCTCAAAGCTAGTGCTCTACCTCTCAGCCACAGCATCACTTCTGGCTTTCTGGTTAATTGGTGATGGAAGTCTCATAGACTTTCCTGCCCAGGCTGGCTTTAAACTGGGATCCTCAGATCTCAGCCTCTTGAGTAGTTAGGATTACAGGCATGAGCTACCAGCACCCTGCTCATTTTCTTACTTTTAAGTATAATTCAATTGTAATTTATATAAATGCATATAAATACAATTTGATACAAATGTGTATAATTGAATAATGATTCTGTTTATCAATCAGCTCAGAAGAGACTTCAAAATTAATAATTGGCTCACATGCAGTCCATCCTACCATGGTGTAGTTGAGCATGAGGGAGGGAGAAGAAGAGAGGGAAACAGTGAGGAAAAAATTCCGTTCACCTTTATTGTCATCTTTGTTATCCTGATGCCTTTGCCTCTGACTTGTTCCATTGAATGAAAACACTAGTCTGAGTCAGGCATGGTAGTGGACATACCTACAAACTCAACACATGAGAAACTAAGGCAGGAGGAATAACAATAAGCATCAGCCTGGGCCACATAAGAGACACTGCCATAAACAAAACAGACAATAAAGACAAAAAACACTAGCCTGGCCTTTCACAGTTTCCTGGTGAGGACTGGTCATGCATTTTCTGGTGTTCTGTTCTTTTAGAAGAGTCTTTCTTCTGTCAATTTCTAATACCTCTCCTCAACACATAGATGCTCTAAAATAAAAGCCCCTCCTCAAAGCACAGTCTGTGTATTACACAGTTCTGCTACACTGTTGCCAGTAAGGAAATGGGATTTTGAACAATGGTCCTAATTCGCTCATCCCTTCTCTCTGTGACTTTGGTACCAAGACCTGACTTCACATTAAGTTATTCTCTGAAATCATAGAAACAATCTAAAGAAGGTCAGGTATAGTATCTCATTAGAAGAGTGATCTAAGTTCATCTTTGAACTCCTGAATTTGTAGATTGGTCTGACTCAAATCCAGCTTTTCTTTAGCACTGTAAGAATAGTGAACAAAGAGAACTGCTCAGAGAAACTGTGACAACCATTTCCTGAAAACAGTTCAGAAAAGAAGGAAGGGAGCAGCACATTTCTGCCCTAAATCAGAGTTTGACCGAGGTGACTACACAGCCTCTTTCCCAGCTTTCATGGCCTAAAAGCGCCTGACACATAAGCATTTCTTGAAAACAATAAAGTGACTGAAGTCTGAGGAGAAATGAGCAATTCCCAAGACAGGGGCAGAAAAAGCCCCAGTGAGACAGGAAGCTGCTTCAGAAGACTATTGGTTCCTGCTGGGTAAACTCAACAGCAGAGGCAGCAGAGACAGCACTGTCTGATCTGAACTTGATTCTGTTGGGGCACCTGTGAGCAGCTGGCAGGCCCCTGGCCAGGCCCCCTTCCTTCTCCTCTCTTGGCTGATGGATCCTAAGTGGCTCCTTTCCTTGAGCCTCCTGCTGTTATTTTCCCTGGCTTTTGAACTGAGCTACGGAACAGGTGAGTGTTGATCTGTTTGCCGGTCAGACTCCTGTGATTAGGTGCCAGGAATGGACATAGCCTCCCAGATGGAGAGAAGACATCAGGGCTCAGAATGACAGTTCCATTGGCTATTCCTTGGGGACTGGCTCTGAGTTTCTTCTGTTTCTTGCAAAGAGGAAGGAACATTAAGAGTTCCTAGGCCTGTGGGTTTCAAGGCTCAGTTCTCCCAATCCTAGTTTTCAAGGCAACCAGGAGCCACAGGCACCTGTTAGATCACCAAAGTTTGTTGCCAAAGTCCTAGTTGAATGGTCTTCTGGCAAATGGAACTCTAGAAAATTTGTTCTGTGCCCCCCTGCCTTGGAGGCAGACCCTCATGAACATACTAGAAGACAAATTGGAACATTATCCAGTATAAAGCCAGGGCGACTGTGGGAAGAGAAGGTAGAAGTAAAAACCGCAGGCCTTTGGCTGACAACAGACAGTGGCTACAGTATGGTCATACTAATGGCTATCTTCTTGGAAGAAAAGGTTCCAAGGCCAAAAAAGGAAGGAGAGGTTTGGATTTTTAGAACACAGGGTTGGTTACAGAATGTGAGAAATGCAAATCAGGAACCCCCAACGCCAAAGCAACTCCTGCATTAGAACCCAACAGGCAGCAGCGGTTGTGGAGATAAGTTTTGCTCCTGTTTCCCTGGTTCACTTTTCTCCCATAGAAAACTATGGTTTTCTATTTATTAATATCAGAGCTATGAGAGAAAGCATTTGAAAATGAGAATACCAAGTGAGAAGTGGATATTGGGCTGATTTGTGAGAAGAGCAAAAATTTATCTCTGTTTACATGTCTTGGAACTTTGGTTAGACTGTGGCAGGCAAAGTGGAGTAAGAGAAGTCATGAAAGACATGGGGGGGAAATCCTGAGCCTTGGGGTGTTTTGGGCTTGTGGTTTTCAAGACTGTAAATCCATTATGGATTTTTCTGTATCTCGGGGAAGCCCTGCAATATGCCAGGGATGTGGAGGTTCTGTATATGGGGCTCTCTTGCCAGATTCTCCGATGAAGAGGCCCCTACAGCCTCATTTCCTTCAGTCTTAGGAGGCTCATGGCTCTTACTTCCTGAGATCTAGGAGGAGAAGAAATGAATTTGTGGCTTGGAAAGCCAAATTGAACCATTTCAAGTAGTCACAGAAAAAGCCAACCTTTCCTTGCTTGCCCCTTGCTTGCACTCCATTTTTGGCTTGCTTCTTGGTAACTGTAAGGCATGAAAGGGCTGAACTAAGCACTAGATTTTTTCTAAGTCTCTGGCTTGCCTGACTCCTGGCCTTGTTTCTGGCTGCTCAGGTGCAGCTGGCAGTGGAGGCTTCGGAAGTCACCGGTTAGAAAGAGCTCAGCCACAGAAGGCCCAACTAGTGGCTGCTTCTTCCGCACATGCCATTTTCTGAAATAAGTTCAAATTTTTTCAGTGTTTTCATTTTTAAATATGTGTTCTTTTGTGGAAGACCAATAAAATCTAAATGGAAACCCTCTGTAAACGAGACAGGTCAACCATGACATATTTATCCAACCAAGAAGCTTGATGCTTGTAAAATCAGTACCCACTTCCTGTCTATCTCTACTTAGCTCATTCTCCAATTTCTAGTCCAACTTATAAAAGTTTAAAAGTCCATATGACTTTATCCAATTTCATTTGTGAACCAATGTTCAAGAAGCAAGAGGGATAGTTAAGTCTGAACCTAGGCCCCACTATAAAAACTAAACTATGTTGGCTATGATTGAAGTATATGAATTGAAATTCAAGAACAGAACATTTTAATGGTCAGACTCATGAAATCATAGAATATAAAAGGCATCATAGAATATAATCATAGAATATAAGAAGCATTTGATTTGAAATTTGGAAAGAAGATAGGAACTGTTTTCATCAGGCAGGTTTACGCTTAAATCTTTTATGAACTAGTCTGTTTGTTGGAAGAAAATCCCATGAATGTCTCTAAAGCTTACACAATACAAAAAGGAATAAGAGTGGAGACTAACCAGACTTCCACAGCCCTTGCTGAACTATTATTATTGTTTTCTTTGTATCTTCCAAATATGTATACACACTAACATACACACACATGTGTTATACATGCTCAGGAAATGACAAGGAGTATGTTGTTCCTTAGATCAAGGGTTAATAACTGAAGCACTTCATCTCTTAATCTAGAAAATGGGACAAAAGTTCCCATCATTTCCTCCATATTATACTGTTTATGAATATTATGAAGATAAAGTAAAGCAGAGTACTTTCTGACTGTAAAAAGAAAAATTAGGTTCTGTGTTGTCATTTGTTCATGCACTCATTTGTTTATTCATCCCATTCTATTTTATTCATTTATTTGAGCAGTAAGGATTTCCTAAGCTCCCACTATGTCTCAGGTGTTAGGGATAAAACAAATGAATTAAACAAACTCCCTACCTCTGGAACATGATAAACTGAGTAAGAATGGCAGATGGTGAACCAGTTATAAATGTGATGAATGATACAAAGGATAGATGCAAAGGCCATTGAAAACATGTGGCAGGAAAACCTAACCTAAGCTAGGAGCTAGGGAAGTCTCCCTAAGGAAGAGATGTCAAGATAGAGACATGAAAGAAAGCAGGAATTAGCCAGGCTAGCAGTGTGTTATAGGCTTAAAATCTAAGGAATGGCAAGGGCAAACAGGCTAAGATAAAGACCTAGCATTTTCAGTACTATCAAGCAATCGGAGATTGAGTGATGGTTATGTTTAAAAAGCATTCTCGGGGCTGGGAAGGTGGCTCAGTGGTAGAGTGCTTGCCTTGCATGCATGAGGCCCTGGGTTCAATTCCTCAGTAGTACATAAACAGAAAAAGTCAGAATGGTGATGTGGCTCAAGTGGTAGAGCGTTAGCCTTGAGCTGAAGAGATGAGAGACAGCACCCAGGCCCAGAGTTCAGGCCACATGACCGGACCCAAAAAAGCATTCTCAAATTATCATTTCTTTCTCAGTCAAAATTTACCACAAGAACCATAGGACCAATATGAGAAGCCTTTTATCTACCTGAAAAATAGCATTAATTATTATATGTTAATATATATAATATCTTATGCATAATATATTATCAGCATATGTATGCTCAAAGTACATCAGAAATATCTGGACAAAAAAAAAAGAGGTGAGAGGGGCTGGGAAGGTGGATCAGTGGTAGAGTGCTTGCCTTGCATGCATGAGGCCCTAGGTTCGATTCCTCAGCACCATATAAGCAGAAAAAGCCAGAAGTGGTGCTGTGGCTCAAGTGGTAGAGCATTAGCCTTGAGCTGAAGAGCTGAGGGACAGCACCCAGGCCCAGAATTCAGGCCACGTGACCAGACCCCCCCAAAAAGCATTCTCAAATGATCATTTCTTTCTCAGCTGAAATTTACCACAAGAACCATAGGACCAATATGTTCTGCCTTTTATCTACCTGAAAAATAACATTAATTATTATATGTTAATATATAATATGTATAAAAAGAGGTGAGAGAAAAAGAGAAAGAGAGAGAGGTAGAAAGAGGAAAAGAAAGGAGAAAAAAGAGAAAGAGAAAATAGAAGAAGGAAAGAAAGGTAATAGTTGGTACAATTCTATGTTGTAAAATGGTTGGCTAAATCCTACAAATTCCAAGCCACTATACATGGGCCCCTGTGAATCACTCTAATTTCAAATTTGAATTTCCCATGAAGGAAAGTGAGTTGGTGTTTCCTCCTAGACTCTCTTGGTAAATAGGGCTGACTGAATCACAGGCCCGTTGGAAAACACTCATGAGACAGTAGGGAGCTGGGACTCCACTTGAAGGGTTTTACAAACCACTTTAAAGCAGCACTTGTGTTTCCACTTGTGCTTGGGTAGATGATCTCAAACACCCCCTCCAGGCCCAGCCATTCACAGGCACTGGCATTACATCATCATTCTTCACGTGGGTTGTGTTAGGGTCTCTTCCCAATGAAGTTTTGATTCCATTTCTTATTTGTGTAAATCACTCACCCTGTCCTCATCGGCCCCTTTTCTTTTCCTATTCACCCCCTTATTTTATTTTTTTCTTTAATATTTTTGTGTGATTTTCCCCTAGCTTATCTTAAATTTCCTCTTTCTCCTTCCTTACCAATTCCACACTCTGAAAGCAACCACAATATAAATGTTGGTGAAGGGGTGCTTAGAGACATTTGGGAGAGTAAAGGTTTATAGTCTATACTTTCCATTTTTTGAACTAAAAATTCAGCACGATCATAATGACTACTAATTTTTTTTAATTTTAATTTTTTGTGAACATACTGTACAGAGGGGTTACAATTATATGGACAGGATAATACGTACATTTCTTA